GAAGTCTTCATGTATTACTATTTGCAGTGCTTAATTCTTCCCCAGGGTCCTTATGTTTCCATCCATAAAATTGCACGGACCAGGGCATAAAAGATTTGTAGGGTTCCCTTGACAATAAATATTTACCCTGGGGAGGTCCCTCTCACCCCCAACTTTCAGACGTAGCCATCACTCAACTGCTCAATCCAAAAAATCAGCTTTCTCCCTTGTATACAGTCCAGTGACATGTCTCGAAAGTATCCTGGGCTCACTCATTTCTAGAGTAAAAGCTTTGTAAAGGAATTCATTTTTTTGTTTTTTTGCGAGCAAAACTATCTTCACATGAAAGAAAGTCTCCGAAAGTCACCGTCTGCGAGCCAGGCTTCAGTTACAAGAGATGAGGTTTGAGAGAAGTGTATGGGAACATTTCATGCCTCTAATTTGTCCCTACAGACAGGAGAAAAAAAAAGCAAAGGAAATACTGTCAGGATTAAACATTTCAGACATCCCCCCCGTCCCTTACATTGATTCCATTCTGTAATCTAGTTTAGTCTGATGGCGTACAATCATGTCTTCAAAATATGAATGTTTTCATATGACCAATGTATTATTAACATTTCACAAATTATTCACTTTTCATTTCGTTACGGACAATAAAAAAAAAAAAAAAAATAAATTATATATATATATATATATATATATATATATATATATATATATATATATATATATATATATAAAAAATTACGTTCCCACTAGTTCACAAAGGCTGCCAAAAAAAAAAAAAAATTATAATTCCTGCGCATGAAAAGTAATTTCACATAGCGAAATGTAGCTTTACCTCCCTCTAGTGGGTACACACTATACTGCAGATATCCAGCTGTTTTTGTTTCTGAACAGAATAAACTTCAGCAGACCTAAAATCATTTTAGCTTCTCTTTCAGAAAAACTATTTCACAAACCAGTGACGTTCTACACCCATTTTCACTGTCTGGGCCTTAGATATCATACATCGGAATCCAACGTCCCACTTCCTTACAGATTTTAAGAGCTCTGCAGGACTGTTCACTATGGCATATATTTGTCCCAAATGTAATGGCTAGTACACATTTCCCCAAGTATTTAAAAAACTAAAATCCACATGGGCATGTGTTATCCATGATTAGCCTTGGGTATATAACTAGGAAAATACTTTAGGTCTGAAGCCAGAGGGACCAATGATGATTCATTTGTAACATAGACCCTACAGTGAATTCCTGGTGGCCACAGGAGGGCTCACAATGATGGGAGTTGCAATCAAACCCTGGACTGTGAAGATCCTGTAAAATACTTTTCCTAAAGCATAGGCAGCCAGGTTCATAGATAAACAATCTCTTATTCTAGCTACGTGTGACCAATCTTTGGCCTCCAAGTGCTCAGAGACTACATTTCCCATAGATCTCTGTGAGAGTCGGGGTAGGTTAAGGTTGGATATCCCAGCCCTATGTGACCAAGAACTGTAGTCCCCAGAAGCTAGAGTACCGAAATGGTTTCTATTTGACACTGTGTCCTGTATCCGGGGGTCAGTGGTGCTACTGGGACTTTTAACTCTCAAAAGAGAAACAATGTCTCCATCACTGAATCCAAGTTCATATGAGAATAGTTTATGGGTATAAAAATAACCATTGTTTGTCACCGTGATGTGGGACTGGGGACAGCAAGTACAACAGAGAAAAGAAGATAACAGTCTGTACTCTTTGCTTCAAAAGAAACAGATAAATATAGCTTGGGCAGAGACATGGCCTTCGAGAGCTGGATAAATTGTATTGTGATCGTTATTAACGTGTTTAGAGCCAGGGCTGAGCCACACACGGCTACGACATTATACCCAAGGTGGTGATGAAGGGTACATCGTACCAACATTCATACTCAGAAATATTCACTAAACAGTTCATCAAAAACCAAATAAAAACACGGATTGTAAAACTTGGCTATAGTCTCAGCATGACTATACTTTAGCCTGAATTTTGCTTAGTAGATAAATCAGGAATTAGAGAGAATTGATGAGGAGAATATTTAAAAGGTGTTGCAGATGTCCCAAGTTGGACTATGGTACCCTGGGAGTAAAATAAAAAAAAAATAAAAAATGGAAATAGTGAATCATGGGGTAAATTATAAAATGAACTGGTATATGGGATAACGGAGTCATTTTGGCATTTTTTTTTCACTGGTTGTAAGCGAATATCTGAAGCCTACGTTATAAATAAATTATACATTCCAACTGAATTTTTTATACCCTGATTGGGTACTACAGGTATTTTGGAGAATAATGTCCCCTTAACTAGGTTGGTTGTATAATGTTTTGTTTTTTTGGTGCAAATGAGATCTCTCATGGGTTAAAAAAACAAAAGGGGGCTACACAGGAAATTGAAATTGTTGTATCCACTATTGGGTCTATAACTCAAACAGATTTTTGTATTCAGCTACAATCTCTAGAAGTAATTCAACTCCCATCATACATAGTCACCCTAAGAATTGTATTGTCAGCAGTGGGAATTTTTGTAAAGAGCAATGTTTACATGTCAGCTGTCAACCCATCCAGTAAAATCCCAGTTTATCCCATACTGAGCCCCAGACAGGGTACACAGCCTGATGCAGAGAGTGCTTAGAGGCAACTTTATAAACTTAGACACTCCATCCTCTGTAGACTGCCATTCACATCATGCTCAGATATTCCAAAAAAAGAGAGTCAACGGTATAGACAGAATAGGTCAGGACCTGAAGACTAACACTCACTCCCAAAATGCTCAGCCTGTCTGAATAGATTTGTAAACAGTTCATAATATTAATTTAACTATTCAGGTTTAAAAAAAAAAAAAAAGACAAAAAGGTGTGAATTCTCATCATCCTGTATCAAACATTAAAAATTCTCATTGTTTTGGGAATTGGAAGGAGGGTTGGGGACACACACAAACCCCCTAACCCCTTTCCAAAACAATAAGTAGAAAGTCTCACTGTATACAGGGATACAGATGTTTTAACCCCATCCTTGGCAGTGAAGGGGTTTGTAAGAGAGTTGTATAGGGGATAACTGTCAAACAAAATATGTCATTTAACCCTCACAGCGCCATCTGACCAGGATACATTCATCACAATTTAATTAAACATAAAAATGAATGATCTCTCAACCCAGCCTGCAGAGACCAGATGTGTAAATCTAAAGAATATTCAAAATCAACTTTAGTCATTCCAGTTTCACAAACACCAGAGATCCAGCATGTTTATCAGGAAAATATCCCCAAACTCTACAGATACTAACTGCATCTCCCCCTGTAATCCCCCCATCAATGGCATTAAAATGGAAAATGTCTCTTACAGCCAGCCAGCTACTTAATCTCAGACCCTGAGCAAAGAATAAAATCAGTGCAACAGTGTTTGAAATCTCTGATGACTTTAAAGCCATCTTTTACTGAAGTCAAGCTTTGAGTCCCCCCAAGAAGCAGTTTGCTCAGCCCCAGTCCCTTGCTGGGTTCCCCAGGTACAACGTTTGCATTGTTCCCATATTAACAAACACAAAGCTCCCAGAACAGAACTACTTACCCTTTAAATCTCCCCAGCAGTGTAGATCTCACAGGCTCTGCAGAGTCCAGGAATTTGTATGCACCATTTCACAGGGAGAGAGGGGGGGAGACAGATTTGCAACCAAAACTTGCATGAGTCCCCAGTGCAGCCTAGAAAGTGCCCAGCGAGCCTTGCATTGTGTGTGTGAGACACATAGTAACACACAGCTCCATGCTGCTGTTACAATGTGAACATGTTGCAAAGACTGCCCCCCTAACTGGGATACAGGAAGTGTCCCCTCCTCCCCTATTTGTGTACTCAGTTGGAATGTACCAGTCCCTTCTCCTACACAGCACAGTTGAATAGGTTTAACCCTTTGTGGGGAATGTATACATCCTATTCCAGCCCCCCCTCCTCCCATTTCTGTATCTCTGTCCTTTATAGACGACCTAAACAGAAATAGGGAGGTTGGATTGCTTTTAATAGCAGACAATCTTTTATTTCACAGAGTTGTACAAAACTGTACTTTTATTTACTTTTTTTTTTTTTTTTTTATGTAATTAAAAACAGTATTAAGTATGCATCCTACCAATTCTCAACTGTTATAAAAGGGGGTGTTTTGATATGTGACCCCTAAAATAATGAAAATAAAATAATAATAAAAATAAATGCAAAGTAACTGTGAAATGTAGGGTTTAGCAGACCCACCATGTTTACACGGAAACACATGTTAATGGGCTGCGCATGTAAAGGGCTGCCCTGCTGAATTTTATTCCATTTATTTGAAAAAACATTATTTATCCAAAGAAGAATCCCAAAGGCAATAATTGTATTATTAGTTAAGTGACCTCTTGCAGACTGCGTTTGAACGATACAGACTAGAGGGAGCACTTTTCATGTACTTTTTTATCAGTATGTAAAAACATGGTAGATGTGTTATTTTAGATTCTAAACGGGTTTGGGCACGGCCGACTTCACCTATCGTTCCAATATGTCAATCATGTTTTGTTAGGATTTAATGTTTGTCTTGTTTACCTATTGTACAGCGCTGCGGAATATGTTGGTGCTATATAAATAATTGTAATTATTACCTGTAGAGGCTGTACAGCGGTGTGATTGAGAGTTTACTTAATTTGTTAGATGTGTTTGTCATTTTATTGATCTTACATCAAATTAAATAATGCTTAGTTTGTACCTTGGTTCATTCACAATCCCCCAACGCGTGCATTGGCATACAAAGCTTTGTTAATTAATAAACAATCTGGGAAGGTAGGTTTATAGAACCGTGGGAAGGAACGCTGAGAAAGTGACCGCGCACTCAGCACTTATTTGCATATTTTACAAGGCATTCTGGGAAAGTTGTGAAAACAATTGTTCAGGGTTGCTAGGGCCACAGTATGTTTCAAATTATAATAAACTACAAACCTCCCAACAATAGGTGACTGGTACGAGGAGACTATTGGCTTCCCCAAACTCCGACCCTCCAGATGTTGCTGAACTACAACTCCCCTATCTTTTTAATTCATAGGCTCATGGGAGTTGTAATTCAGCAACATCTGGAGGGCCGGAGTTTGGGGAAGCCTGCTATAAAGTGAGTGGTGGCAGTAGCCAGATGTGTGATACCGGTGGCCATAAAGGGAAGAGTCCCAGTGTGCTCGTTAGTCAAGCTGACAGACAGGCCATCATGTACTGCACTCTTGTCGTGTGCCCAGAAATAGGGATATCATACAAAACAAAAGCCCATAGGACTTTCATCCCAAATTAGGACTGTCTCGTCAGATGTGGGACTGTTAGGAGGTATGATACTATGCTATACAGTATTTAATTGTTGTTAATAAGTTGCATAAACCCATATTAACTCCTGCTTGTCTGACTGGGCAGCTGTGGGAGACTGTCCTTTGCCCAGGGTAAAAACAGCCTAGTGCAGTAGATCTGTATTTAATTAAGTAGTAGCACAGGGTCCTTGTTTATAAATGAAAGAACCCACCATGCAGAAGAAGGGGATCCAGGCAAGCTCTCAAACTTTCTAAAACGGTTCATATGGTAATGTTTGGAGTATTAATTTCTAATTGAGCATTGTTACTCCAGGTGAGGTTAGGGGTAATGGTGAAAGCTCAGTTTTTAGAAGTTGGAGTTAGGAAGTCAGGTATTAAATCAGGACAGGGGGTGAGTAAGGACTAGAAGGGCAAGTTACATCACTGGCAATGGCTGAAATTAGTGGCCCTGTTCAGAAAGAGGGTGGGCCACCCAGAATATGAACACATGCCAGACTGACTGGCAGCCTCTTGGCTGGGCCCACTCAGAACACACTGCTGGAGTGCTCTCTGCATGGCATTAGTGCAAGAGTGCTCAATGAACCAAATCCAGGGACACCAGAGGGCCGAATCGAGAAGGCAGGACTGGATGCTAAAATCGGGACTGTGCTGCTGATAATGGAAGCAGTAGCGCACATACCCAGGGATGGTGAGGGGTGGTCTGCCTCAGGTGACCCGGGGCAGAGGGTGCACAAAGCCCCCCTAAGCAGATCAGGCACCTGCCTACCAGTGGTGGTTGGCATATAACAAGTGCCAGCTTTACAAATTCCATTTAGCAGATCTTGCGAGCAGCAAGGGAGCTGCTGGGATCAGTGTGTGCTCCCCTACCATTGTGTAATAATGACCGGGGATCTAACATTGCCCCAAAATCAATACATAGTTGGAGGGAGCTGGGCAATCGGTGCACGGATTTATCCAAGCAGCAAACCACTGGGGAACAGGGATTAAAATCTTTATAAAAGTCAAATGTGTGTGAGCGTATATATGTGACTATGTGTGTGTGTATATGAATTTAAAGGACCACTATAGGCACCCAGACCACTTCAGCTCATTGAAGTGGTCGGGCTGCCAGGTCCATCTAGGGTTAACCCTGCAGCTGTAAACATAATAGTTTCAGAGAAACTGCTATGTTTACATTAGGGTTAATCCAGCCTCTAGTGGCTGTCTCATTGACAGCCGCTACAGGTGCTTCCGCACTTCTCACTGTGATTTTCACAGTGAGAAGACGTCAGCGTCCATAGGAAAGGATTGAGAAATGCTTTCCTATGGACCAACTAAATGCGTGCGCGGCTCTTGCCGCGCATGCGCATTCAGCGGATGATGTCGGAAGAGGGAGGAGAGTCCCCAGCGCCTGTGGGAGACCGGCGCTGGAGAAAGGTAAGAATTTAACCCCTTCCTCCCCCTTCAGCCTGGCAGGAGTGGGACCCAGAGTTTGTTTTCCTGGCACTATAATGGTCCTTTAAGTATGTGTTTATAACTGTGAGCTGTGTGTGAATGAATGTTTGTATATATATATATATATAGGAATGTGAGTGTGAGTGAGTATATGTTTATATATATTTATTGATGTGAGTGCGTTTGTAATATCCCTAATAAATGCGTGTTAGAGACATTGTAGAGAGACATCAACATACATTCTATAGTTCAGCGGGTAGAGGGTGGGGGTACCAATATATATTTGCTCCCCTGGTGACAGATAACCTAGGTATGCCTCTAGTTGTAATCGTGGTTTGACACTAGCATGATTGTGATTGTATGTACAGGGTTAATATGATTCTGTTAACACGGCATCCATACATTTGGATGAAGTTTACCCTCTTTTCAAAAATCTATATTGGGATATCGTTACACCACAAATAAACACAGTCTACATACCACTCTGAATGCGTGGGCTAATCAGGCTCTCTAAGCACCATAAACACTACTTCTCATTGAAGAGGTTACGGTGCTATGAGGTTATAAGTGCTGCTCCCTTGGTTTTCTGTCAAACTGCTGTGGTGCTCTGTCCAAGTTTAGGCAGATATGCATTGACAACCCTGTAGGGTGGTTTCCTCATTTTAAGTTCAGTTATCAGGAGGTGGTAAACTAAGAGTGTTGGGTGGAGTCACTCAGTGCTGCCTATGCCCAGAGCACTTCTGAAACATCCTGACACGGACCGTGCGTCCTGAGGCTTACGTGCAGCAATGATGTGCTTGTGCTCCACTTACCGGAGGCTGCAATTCTCATGATCCCCAGCCAGCCCTTAGGAAATGATAGAGTACAGATATCTACAGTTCCCGTGATAGCCAAGGCTGTCATAATATCTTGGTGTAGCTTTAACTGTGTTGTGATAATCATCTTTAACGATTTTTGCAGCCGTTTAGATGTGTTTATTTGGTGGCGTTAACTGCCCACTCAGTGAATACAGTCTGTGTAAAAAAGGAACAGCCTGAATACGCCCACATACATTGAAGAGGTGTCTTATACTACATGCAAGAAATTCATTACCATGTGTGCCAGCTGTGCCAGTCTTATAATTACTGCCAAGGCACGTAGGATTTAATCTATAACTGCAGATTGGACCAGTAGTCAGATATAAACAGTATCATGCTATTTAATATCGTTAACACAAGACAGTGTGGCCAATTTCTATTTTGTCTGCAAAGTGGACTCATTTGAATTGACATTTGAAATGCAGACGAAAAGATTTATAATGGGGTGTGGGTGCACGTTATATTTGGGCACGGATGCCACTAGCAAACGGGTATATTCAATAAACTCAGAATTGTCAGGAATTGTGTCAAATGAGCATCAATATTGCCACTGGTATTAAAGGACAACTCTGGAAACCATAACAACTTCATTCCAATGAAGTTGTGGTGACTGAAGTTTCTCTTTAAGTGCTCCATTAAGTGCTTCTGGAGCAAAATGCACAAGGTGGTTTTCAATGACACCCTTTCATGGTATTGAGTAATTTTACATTTTTATAGATATATATAACCAAAGTGTAATATCGTTCTATGTTTCTCGGCTCCTTAACACCAGCAGGTTTCTCCCTCACTGATATCTGTAATAGATTATAATCTGTTTTAATAGTCAGTCTTACTAACACCAGATTACCAATGTGACAGTAAAGGAACACTACAGGGGCAGGAACACAAAACATGTATACCTGCCCCCCTAACTATACCAAAATATTACTTTTATTCCACTCTGCTTCTGCTGGTTCCGCCCCTGATCTGCCTGCTTGGCTGACATCAACAGAAGCGGTGTTCTGAGCCAATCACAATGCGTTCACATAGTAAAGCATTGGATTGGCTGAGATTTTCAAGGAGGCAGATCAGCACAAGCCAAACACATCCCTAGCCAATCAGCATCTCCTCATAGAGATACATTGAATCAATGCATCTCTATGAGGAAAGTTCAGTGTCTGCATGCAGAGGGAGGAGACAATGAATGTCAGTCACACTGTGCAGCACTGCCCCAGGAAGCACCTCTAGTAGCCATCTGAGGAGTGGGCAGTAATGTAAACAATGCATTTTCTCTGAAAAGCCTGAAAGGAATGATTATACTCACCAAAACAAATACAATAAGCTGTAGTTGTTCTGGTGACTATAGTGTCCCTTTAACTCAATTTAATGCATATCTACTAGCAAAGTAAAAGATAAACAAGGACACATTGGGCCTTCCAACAGTATCGTATTAGAATGGTTTGACTTGTTACTTGCAGTCCACGAAACATTGCTCCCCGCTTCCACTACCTGACCCGTAGAACCAGAACCTCTTGCTTGTGAACTAAGTCCTTTCAAAAATGGTTTGACTACTTTCATTCATAATGGTTTGACTACTTTCAATGGGAGGTGCCTAAGACAGTCATGGCATCATTATTCCTTTAACCCTTCCAGACCGCGGACGTATCAGCTACGTCCGACAAAAAACAGTCGTTATCGACCTCGGACGTACCTGGTACGTCTGCGGCAAATAGGAGCCCTGGACTTACCTGGACCGGCGATCCGCGGCGATTCTGGTCGGGGGGTGGGGACTGCCCGAGACCCTAGCAGTCCCCTTGCAGCAGCTATGGCCACCCCGGCCCTCCAGGGCCACATGATCACCATGATCACATGGCCGCAATAGGAGTCTATGGAGCTGCCTGCAGGGGGACTGTCTGAACTGTCAGACAGTCCCCCTGACTCCAAAAAGTGTAAAATAAATAAATAATAAAATAAATATATTATACATATATTATATATGTATAATATATTATAAAATAATGAAAGCATTTTATAATATATTATACCTATATAATGCATATATATGATTGCATTATAAGTGTATTTTAAGATATATGTGTATAGATCGCAAAGTACACTTATAATTAAATCATATATATGCATTATATATGTATAATATATCATAAAATGCTTTAATTATTTTATAATATATTATACATATATAGAAAATAAAAGTGTGTGTGTGTGTATATTTATATGTATTAAGGCCTTTTGGCCTGTAATTGTGGGAGGGGCGTATGACTCACCTTCTCCCTACTTAAGGGACACCCCTTACCTGGCTCCATACCGTTCGAGGTCAGCGCTGCATCGAGAATCCACTTCCGGTTCACGTACGGCGCCATCTTGCTTTTCAAAAACCCGCGGTTTTCGTTTGGTGTAGCTGTGTCCAGGAATCCTTACAGGTTTTCCGCCCGTTCAGCCACGCACATACCCGGTGTTTTCGTCGCAGATTAAGTCCACAGGACTTCAAAATCGTAA